CTACATCCGACAGCCAAGGGACGGGGATCTGCTTAGTGAATTAGTTTATAAAACACATCAGTATGAGGAAGGAGAGTGTTTGGGTAGTACCTGCCTTCCAGGAAAATTAATGCTGTTGCAGTTGGAGAAACTGAGGCAAACACCCTACAGATCTCCCTACAAATCTCCTTACTGCCATCCTGGCCCTTCCTAAAGGAACACAGTTCAGCTTCTGCAGGTTGCCCTAAACAAACAAGTAGCGTAAAGAGACACAAGTATTCTACTTTCAAATTTCTTAATTTGCTTACTCCAGCAACATAAAAGCTTTCTGTCTGTTTTTCTAGATGAGATGCAGCAGTGCCTACTACTGCTGAAGTTTAGGCTGATTCCTTACCCTGGATCCCTGGTCTGATTCTCTACCGTGGATCTCCTCCGGCCATCACAGGACTGCTGGCAGTGAAGCAAAAGTACAGTGTTGTTCCTAATGGTATCCTTAGTGCATTTAATTGTACTTTGGCTCACTGCATGGCATACATTCCCTGCTCCCATCCCTTTGGCAGCTTTGTATACTGTACAATCTATTTGTACCAAACCCTGCAGCTGAAGGAAAATATAAGGCACAGGACAGAAACCCACGATTTTCCCAGATTGTACAGAAACCAGCACAGTTGGTTGGGTCAGGGGGACAATAGTCTTCTTTACATATTTTTTTTTCCCAATTTAAATGTTGCAATAATCACAATACAGGTACTTTGGATATTTTTATAACGTGTATAAAAATCTTTCCCCCAATAGGAAGCTCAGTTTGCATACGGTTGCAAGTTCTGCATTAAAGTGCTTGGCAAAAAGTCACCTTGACAGTAAGTGCTCACAGCTCCAGTGTAGGTTTGCTTTTCCTGGTCCCCAACATCACTCATTCCCCCCATGCCCCCCCAAATCCTACAGTCACTCAGTGAACTGAAGTGGAACCTAAAGTGCTTAGAATGTTAAATTAAAAATACAATTTTAAATATAATTCCATATAATATCTTAGTATTTTTTCATGGTACCTTGTAAAACTAAACATTATTTAAAAATACACCTTTCCAGTTCAAAAAAAACCCACAATGCAATGCAGAGTAAGAATAATCTTTACATTTTCTCTATTTCTTCAGCAAGTTCCTATTTGTCTAGAAGCACAGAGTATCTCCAGTAACCTACTAAATACCATTACATACTAAATACTAAGTCAACATTCAGCACGAGTTTTGCTTTACTTTGCAGACATGACTTTTAAATCAGTTTCAGCTATTAGTGCAATAGTATTATCATTATTCCACCTTGGAGAACTACACATGAAAATCTGTCAATTCAGGAAAAAAAAAAAACATAAAATTAAGTCTGTTTCTCTGCCTTTCACTGACCTCCATTATGCACCAAGGCAAAGGGGGAAACTGAGGAAATAATTAGACCCCAGACCTGGTGTGCACATGCAGAGTTTTTAGCCCTCATGCAAACCCAGTTCTTTACAGCAGGTTGGCGGGGGCGAGGAGGACACTGACTACCTGGGGAGGGAGTCTCCAACTCTGGGCCAACAGGACTTCAGCTCTAGCACCAAGGCTCCTGGGTTGGGAAGGTTACAAGAGATCCTGCATTATTTTAATACAAAGGTATTACAGCTTTCCTGGAAAGGTTACTGATCAACACCTGCTTAGTACTATGTCTTCGGCCGGGCTGTGTTACCTCCCATTTCTATTCCCGGCTTTCGCGTAGGACGTAGGACAGGCCGTGCTTCCCCGAGGAGTCGTAACTGTCATAGTAGGGGAGCCCCACCCACTCGGGCGGGTAAGTTGCTGTGCTGTACACGAAGCACTCCAGGACGCCCTCGGCACCGCCCTTCCCTTCCCACTCCACCACCTCGATTCTCATCAGGGTACGCTGGTACATGTCTGGGCAGCCTTCGAACTCATCCAGGAACTGCAGCATCTGCTCGTCAACCGAGTAGATCTCCCCGGCAACGTGGTGGCCCGTCCCCGGGATGTTCAGCATGTAAGGAATATTGTATTTTCCTGCAATCACCAGCGGGTACTTCTCCACCGTGCGGCCCCTTCCTTGGAATTTGGCTAGCCCCTTGGCTGTGTTGATCATGTGCTTGTAGTTGGGCTGGCCCTTCTTAAGCGTGCCGTAGACAAAGACACGGGCCATCGTACCTGCAAAAGCAGCTGAAAGACAAAGGCACGTTACCTACCATGTGGCTGCCCTGGAGAGCCACACCCACACCACGGCACCTCGGACATGCAAGCCTCTTTGGGCACGCACAAAGGTGTAGGTCTTGCAGTCCTACACCACATTTAGGTATCGTACCAAATTCAAGTATATTGAAAATTTTAAGACAGTAAATGCATCAGTGAAAAACACACCAGGACAAAGTCAGCCTTTTGCAGTTCTTTGCTGTAACCAAACTACATCCCATGGTTTCTCTAAGGAATCCCTAACATCAGCCAACACATTCCTGCGCCTCAGGAAAAGCTCTCAACCCCTTTTAATTTTTCTCTTTCCCACCACTGTGTGAGCTGTGCCACTGCAAGTGTGTGGTGCCATGCTCAGAGACACCCCAAAAACAACCATAACCTGCTGTTATCTCATGGACATGCTGGTGGATTTGCAATAACCCCAGCTCTGAGGTCTCGCATGCTGAGTGACCAACCAGTGCAGAACAGCAATTGGTGGGCACCAGGGAGGGAAGTGGGGTGGCCTGTGACAAACACATCCCAAGCGAGCAGGGGCTGTCTGAAAGGGGCCATTGAAGTTTGTCCTGCTCCTTCAGGGGAATGATGATGGCTGTAAATATGAGGTGATTTGCAGAACTGGTGATGTCTTCCCAAACCCCTTCACCCCTCCTTGTCTGAGGGAGCTGTGCGAGTTACTTCCCTTTATTTACCTTGGGGGTGGGTGGGAGGAGAAATGTGATATTTCAGCCCTAGTGAAACTGGAAGCTATAGCTGCTGGCAGGAAGACCAGATAAGGCCATGCTCCTCTTGTCCCCAGACAGACACCCTGAAGTACCTGGTCTGCACACATGCTACACCTCTCTTGAAAACAGACCCTGCACTACCACCGTTTGTTTAAATTGGTTTAAATGGGATAAAAGACTGACTTTACTGAATGGTAGGGGCGGGGGAGAAAGGTACTTCCATCGTTCCTGCTTTACTTTTCACACTGTGCCCTGTTTATCTCCCATTGTTTCTGAACCAGAAGGCAGAAGCAGTTCTTGCACTGTGGTGTTTTCCCACATTTTACCCTTGGTCACTGACCGGGCAGACCCTGCCTCATCCACGGTTGTCTGGCTGGGCCAGACATCCAACACCCGAGGAGCACGTGCAGCTCCTCTTGGGAAGAGGGCATTAAACAATGTATTTCAAGTTTGAAAAATCTTTAAAAACAGACTGGAAGTAGAAATGCAATCTGTTCTCTGCTATTTATTCTTATTTTAGTAAACTGTTAGGTCAGTTATCCAAAAGGGTGCATTGCTGGCCAAGAGCAGTGTCATTTAAAATCCTCAGTAGCGAAGCAGTTTCCCCTTTGGTGAAGTAAACAGTTTTCCTCTGTATCAAAATACAGTTTTCCAAGCAAAAACTGTGCCTTTATTTACCAGCAAACTGCTTCCACTCAGGAAAGAGAATATGCTGATTTCCCCCGCCCCAGTATTTTATCAGATATACTTCAGAGTAATTTATCCTTCATGACATAAACGAGGTTTTTTTGGATGCAGCTCATTCCCTCACAATAAGAAGAGCATTAATATTCAGTCGGCCCGAGTCTCTTTATAAGAAAAATCGTTACCTTTTAGACTGTGTTTTGAATAACAAACACAGATCCTTCAGGAAGAAACTTGTCCCAGTGGGGATTGAGAAAGGATCAGAGTTAAGCACTGAAACATGCAATTAATTCCCATTAGGGGATTAGGGCACTCGTGTTCACTTTGAATCAGAAAAATGAATCGTGAATTAAATTGTTCACAACCAAGAGGTTACTTGTCAGAGTTAATAAGTTAAAAAATAAAAAGGGAAACCGAAAACGCACATAAAAAGCTCTACAGTGAGTGGTGCATCTGTAAGAAAAAGATATGCTTCATTTCCATTAAACAAAAGCCCTGTCCCTACTGTACATCTGGAGATAAGCTTCCAGAAAGTTTTCAGGGAAGAGTGGTACCATTCTTGAAACCAGTAAAAACTAAGTACCTGTTTTTGATGGCGCAGCAGTTGGCTGTTCGGAAACATTACCCCTTTGAAGGAACACAACCCGTCATCCTCATGCAGGGTCCACAAAATTCTACAGCAACAAAAGAACTTGCTAACCCAGGTTTGGACAAGTGTTTCCGATTTAGCATTTGAGTGGATGGATTCAGCAGGCAGTACAGATGGAGATGGGAGAGGGAAGCTGAACTTCCAGCCACAGTTTGTGTAGGGCCGTGAGGCTGATGTACTCACGGAGCTGTGGCTTCACGGGCAGGTGGCCACTGAGCTCCCCGTGGCACCGCTGTGGCCCACAGTGGCCCTGTTGCTCACCCTGGATGGGTTGGGAACAATGACTTCTCTTTCTATAAAAAAAAAACCTGTCAACAAACAAAGCCAAGCCCAGCCCTCCAGCTGAGCAGTTATTGGTAATAACATTTTCTAAGCGCTGCTCCACATAAATAAGACATATACAATTTTATGCACAATAAATCTCATCCCCTGTGTGCCGTGTGTTGTGCTGCAGAAAGGCTGCAGATGTATTAGCATCATTCAAAGCACTTGCTTATCGTGGGCTTTCAAAACATTTTTAGCCACCTTGTGGCCAGAGAGCACAGAACAGAATTGTATCTGAGGGTCATTTCACAGGCTTCCACTAAGCAGCTGAAAAGAGTTACAGACAGCATCCCCTTGCTGAATCACCAACAAGAAGTTGCCTTTTCTCACTTAATCCAGTTTGACACTTCTTACCCACAGCAAACCACCTGAGAGGAAAAGAAAACCCACCAAAACCCAAACAAAAACCCCCAAGACTCTATGCTAAGTATTAGCTGCCAGGACTAAACAAACCCATTCAGAAGGTACTTTCATGAAATATTCATGAAAGAATCATTAAAATTTAATGGCACGGGAAAACACGAGTAAAATTTGTATGTCATCTCGGCAAACTACTTCTTTTCGCTATGAAAGACAACCTGCCAAATTACTTACAGGATCAGTTACCAGTTGCTTCATAAGGTAAGACGGATCAGAAAATAAAGTAACTACTTCAGGATCATGCAGGTGATTGTTGCTGGGTAAAAACAGAAGAGGCTCATAACTGGTGTCAGCCAGGAGCCCGCGCTGCCACTTGGCATTAGCACTGGTAGGGCTGCAGCTCTGTATCCACACCTATCCTCTCCTACTGAGGGAGTTTTGGGTCAGGGCTTTAGTCTTCCCTCTCAGGCCCAACAGTTCCAGCGTGGTGAGAGAGGGGTGGGCGGCAGTGGGGCCAGTCACTGGCTCAGTCAACATGTACCCGCTGCAACCAGGCTCTTTGCTCACAGGTTGTGCCCAAAGCAGGACCTTGCTTCCTAAATAGCAGGATCAGCTTCGGCAAAAATCACCTTTTCACCACAATTCAGACAGCTACAGGATCCTACCAGGTTCTTTCAAAAATAAAGTAAGAAACAGTACGTGTGTTATGTTTCAGGGCTGTTTGCAATCATGATAGCAGTGGGTTAGGAAGAAAAAGTTTCAACAAAATAAAACTCCACTCAGAAAGTATCCATTTCGCTCACTCCGTACAGTAACATTATTTTCCCTTGAGAAAAATTCTCCACATTGGCTCTGTGACCAGATATAGTTACACATTAATTCTTCAGAAGTTTCTTAAAAACTGTAGGAAACAGGTGAAAAAACAAAATGCCTTGAACTTTAAACTTGAGCCCAGTCTGTTTGAATGAAGCGAGTTTTAAGGTCACTCTTCACTCAATGCTAACTTTCAAGAAGGACTAACATGCCAGAGAGGACTCCTGGGACTGCATCCTGTTAGTCCTTTGATGCTTTCATTTTGTTGCTTGCTATTTTCTTTATAGCACAGACAAGGGCTTCCTGCCCAGGCCGACCCCTTCCCAACATTGCTGAATACCTCGGAAAAAGTTTATGGCAAGACACCTTTCTTACATTAACCACAGAGGCACCAGTGAAACGATGGTTCCTTTGAAATCAAGAGGTTACAGTCTCCTCGCAGCGGTCATCCCCTCAGAAACTCTGAGGTGCTGGTTTGTGAAAACAAACAGGAGTATCAGAGTAACCAGTGCCACGCTGGATGCTACCGGGCACTACCTGAAACGCCACTTAACCTACTCTGCAGATTCTTTTAATTTCTTCCTTGGTTCACATCCCCAAACCAACACATATGCCTGCACTTCAACTGGAGTATCTTGGGAGTATCTGCTAGGAGGCAGAGTGAGGATGCCCGCCCTTTGGGCAAGCATCGATCACAGCACTGCTCACGTGCCTTGCACCCATCTGTCACCACAGAGCACATCCCTTTTGTCTGTTTGAAAACACTTCAAGTCACTTTCAACTGCACTGAAATACAAATACTGAAATAGAAAAACTTCATTAGATTAATTTTTACTACTAACAGGAAGAGTTTAATTCCCAAAGTGACTGTGAGAAGGCCTCAAACTGACAATAAAACCATAAAACCACCACATGCATAAAGATGCTGGAGTAGCAACGCAGAAACATGCTGGACACAACGTGAGACCGATTAACAGACTAAATTTCTAGGAAGTGCAGAAATATGAGGGGATTGCAAGCACATCAAGGAGAACAAGAAAAGGAGGATGGAAAAACGGAAAGTCAATGGATGTGGACAAATTCAGTTGAGGGGAGGAAAAAATAGCTGTCACCTCAAGAGAGTATTATATTAGTATTACTAATACTAGGACTGGTTTGTCCTTATATTAAGTAATGTTGTATGAGCCTCAGCAAAGTCTTGCAACTGCAATTCAGAAACCTGTGGACTACAAAAGTAGTCAGAAAGAGCTCAGGGCAAAGCACCGAGTCCAGGATTGTTTTCTCGAGTCAAAGACTGAACCAGCAGGAGCTTAAATAGGAGCTCATGAGACAGGTCATAATCACCTCCTAACATGGGGAAGGATTTTAGAGAAGAAGCAATTGATTCTCCATGTACACAAACACACAGCCAAAATTTT